TGGAGTAATTCATGCCAGAGTTCCATACCCCCAAGCGGAAGCTAAGTTGTTGATCTAACTCTCCAAGAAATCAGGAAAGAGAGAGAGACTAGACAAACCTGAACAAGCCAGTTTTAGCCGACATAAGGAAGTCTCCTTTGCTTAACCTGCACAAGGTACTGAAACGATGTTCTCTTTTCTGCTTTCTTCAGCCTTTTTCTGCCTATAAAGCCATTCTCCACTGCTCAGCTTATCAGAACAATCATTCTATAAAACAGAATGAGGTGTTCCCTGATTCTAGAAGCACAAGCAAAAACCAGTTAAGATCTTTAAATCTGTTGTAGTTTTGTCTTTCGACAAATAACAGGACAAGAAATAGAGAGGCACTCATCTGAATGCTCCTTTGGTAAGGCAAAGGTACATTTAAGTCAAGTGTTTTGCTGTCAAAGCAAAGCAGAGCTGAGTGAGAGAGGTTTTTTGGAGTGTCAGGTGACTTCAATATCACCATGCTGAAGGCCTAATGTCTACCACTTGGAGATAACATTTTCCTGGTGCAATTATTGCCCTGGGCAAAGTAATTTCTCTACTAACAACAGAAGAGAAGGGTAGAAAGGCAAGAGAAGCTGGGACAGCTATAAATTTTGGAGTGACGGGTGAGGGGACACCATGTGGTGAGGGTATGGTGAGGATTCTGCTGAGCCCCCAACAGGGGCTCCATATGGAGTCACGAGCAGTGGTCCCTCCACCACTCACAATGCAGGAAGGTCACTGAGTCCAGATCGGAAGACCTGCCTATAGTTATAACTGTCTGGAGCACCGGGTGCTCCATATCTCCTCTCTGTACCAGGGCTTCCTCATGGGTCAACAGGTGCCAGTGCTCTTTTTAGTTCTGATAAGCACTCAGGTCCTGAATGGCAAAGACCGTTTTTCTTTTTTTTTGAGTTGGAGTCTCACTCTATCTTCCAGGCTGGAGAGCAAGAGGTACAATCATGGCTCACTGCAGCTACTACCTTCTGGGCCCAGGCGATCCTCCTGCCTTATTCTTCTGGGTAGCTGTGACTACAGGCATGCACCAGCATGTCCAGGTAATTAAAAATTTTTTTTTCTTTTTTTTTTTTTGAG